TGTGGGACTCGGGGGAGGAGGAGAGTGAGGGACAGCACAGCCATGCCACAAGGGAAGGAGTGGGATGTGGTCCCTGTGGGTGACTTGACTAGGTGTGGAGCCAGACAGGTCACTTGCCTTCTGTGGGCCCCTTGCCTGCTGTGTGCTGGAGGTGAGCGTCCACTCTGGAGGCTGGAGAAGAGGGTGAAAATGGGAGAAAACTGGGGTTCAGGCAGGGAGCTTCGAGTACCAGGCCACAGGGCGTGGTCCCATCTCCAGGGGAGTCTGGCCAGGGTAGGGCCAGAGGAAAACAGGCCAAGGGGTGGCAGGGGGCGGGGCAGGGAGGCCAGGGCAGGGAGGCCAGTGTACAGCTGTTAGGCTCAGGCCTGTGCCTGTTGGACAGCAGGCTCGAGTGGGCCAGCCTATCATCCATCCAGGTCCGAGCCCCCACTGGGTAGGTGAGGGGGGGTGTCTTTGGGGTGATGGGGGTGGGCACACTTCTAGTGGCTGGAGGCTGAGCTGCTGGGAAAATGAGTGGAATGTGCCCCTTGGCTGGCCTGGAGGCCTGAGGAGCCCCCGCTGACCCTAGTCCTGCAGGCAGCACAGGCCTTGTAGGCCCCCAGGATGGACGGGAGGCCGGAAGAGGAGCGGCGAGTGCAGGGTTCAGGTCTGGAGGCTGGTGCTACTGCCAGGGGAGCGAGTAGGGCTGGGTGGGGGAGTGGGAGCCTCCTGTCGTTTGCCAGCCTGGCTGGGTGGGGCCTCCACTGTTCCCTGTCTCTGGGGGCTCCACTCCCCACCCGCCCATCGATTTCCTGAGTGGCCTTTGGCCTGAATCCCTAGCTTGCAGTCCTCCCCAAAACCAAGCCCATGGCTGCCTGCCCACCACCCCTGACCCAAGCTGGCCCTTTGCTGCGTGTGGTCAGGAGTGGCACTGAGGGAAGAGCTGTGAGGAGAGGGGTCTCCCGGATCTGGCCTGCCCTTCTCCTGTCTGTCCAGAAGCTGTCTATGAAGATCTGTTTGCTGGGGCCCAGCTGTTTCCCAGGGGCAGTTGGTCAGCAGCCTCTTCCCTCGGGGAGAGGGGACCCTCCAACTAAACTAGCCCAGAGGCCTCCGGGGGCATGATCCCCGTCATGAGTCAGCATTGAGTGGCAGGACGGGAGAGCTGGGCCATGATGGATGCTCGTTCCGTGGCTTAGGCCCCTGGGGGCTGAGGCCTCCCCCGGGCACTGCTGTTAGCCCAGGCTGAGGGTGTACCAGCTCGTATGGGAAGAGCCCTGAGAGCTGGGCTTCTTGGGGGAGGAAGGCACAGGCTGCTGGTCCTGAGTGGGAACTGGCAGCACCCATGGGGAGCCAGCCTGGTGCACCCCTCATCTGCAGCCCCAAGGTGGCCATCCCCCGGGGCCTGCAGCCCCGGCACCTCCCTGGCAGGGCAGAGCAGCTTTCTGAAGGGCAATTCCTCTTGTGGCTTAGACAGTCCTGAGGGCAAACCCTCCCCACCAACCATTTGTCTGCTTCTTAAGGCAGCAGCCCTAGAGTGCAGGACCTGTGGTCTGCCCTCAGGCTGTTTCCCATGCTGACCATCCCCCTGGTCCAGCTCCCTGGGACTCACCTGCATGGAGGTTCTCTCTGCCGCCCTCCCCAAGCGTATTATGCCCTGGTCACTTGCCACACCCTCTGTGCATGTCTCCATGTGGTGTCCTCCTCCCCAAGCTGCATAGGGCTGGTCCCCCACCTTGCTCACCATCAGAGGGGCCTGACCCTAGTTGGCTGAGTGACAGATGCAGCCTTGGGCAGAGGGGAGAGAGCACTGCCATCTCCTGCCTCTGTTCCTTTGCTCACACTGTTCCCTCCACCTGGGATTCTTTTCCTTGCTGCCCTCCAGAGGCTCTGTATTTGCTCCCACCAAGACTTGCGTGTTTTATTATCCAGAAGATGTGTGTTGAATGAATAAATGGGTCCTGGGCCCTGCTCTGGGAGTTGGGCATCATCCAGACAACCTGTGTGATGGTGGGGCCCAGGATCAGACTTAGATCATCTCTGAGTTTGAATCTGGTGCCTCTGACAAGCTAGGAATCTCGAGCCCAGCTCCTTGATATCTGTGCCTCGGTGTCCTTTAGAGTGGGGATGATCCTAGCACTTAATGCGATGGGGAATTGAAAGGATTACCCAAGTTGTTGCAGAAAAAGCCCACAAATGCTGTTGTTTTCATCATTATTGCTTCCCTGCCCCAGGGCCCTTGCTGTGGTGACTAGGACATGGGAACAGGGCCCCTTCCCTGTTAGGAGAACATGGCAGAGGAGCAAACAGGCCCTTGACGCATATGCCACAGTGGAGAAGTCGGGGTGTCGCTCTGGGTAGGGGGTTGGAGCCAGGCCTGCCGCTCGCGGGGCAGTGACGACCCCTGCTCTGTGCTTCTCCTCAGGACGACACGGAGCCCTATTTCATCGGCATCTTCTGCTTTGAGGCGGGCATCAAAATCATCGCTCTGGGCTTTGTCCTGCACAAGGGCTCCTACCTGCGCAACGGCTGGAACGTCATGGATTTTGTGGTGGTTCTCACGGGGTAGGCTGCCGGGCCGGAGCGGGGTGCCCTCTGCACGGGGCTGGGGGTGGGGCAGCAGTGTGCACACTGGTGGCCCCATGGCCCCCATGAGACGGGTGGGTGTGGGTGCAGGTGGCTGTGTGGGAGGAAATCTCTGATTGCGTCCCGTGTGGGCGGGGTTGATTCTCCCCGTGAGGTGCCCAAGCTGAGATGCTTCCGGAGCCGCTGGTGTGGGGCCCTGTCACCATGGGGAGGGGCTTCCCAGGGCAGCAGAGGGCTCTGGGCCTTATTTTGTACATCCTGGGCTCCAACCTTGCCTCCGTCGACCTGCGACCTGGGAGTGGCCCTTTCGTGTGCGTGAGCATTTTCTGCCTGAGAGCCCCCGGAACATCCCCCTGGAGCCAGTGCTGCGCTCGCACGAGCCTGTGCACAGCAGGTTTGCACGGTTTCTGGCTCCAGGAAGGTGTATATCAGTGTGTCCTGCCCACCGCTTTCCTCCTCAGATGGACCCTAAGAATTACCAGCTTGTGACCCCCAGAACAACCCAGGAGATCTAGAAAACCGACTTGGGGATGGGCCTGGTGGGAGTGCAGGCAGAGTGCCCTGCTCCTCGTCACTGAGCCCCCACTCTTCGGGGCTGCAGTCTCTCCCTCTGCCTGGTGGCACAGCCCTGTTTCTCTGGCCAGCAGGCTGAAGGCTGGGGCTGAGCTTGCTGCTCCGGCGCTGGGGGTGGGGGTGGCGGTGGGGGGTGAGTGCTCGGGGAGTTTGCTCCTCAGAACCTGTTTGCACAACCCAAGTCCCAGAGGCCCCACCCTGGGCCAGGGATGCAGTCTGTTCTTCCTTGGGGCCTCCTGGTCCTGGGGAGGCTCTGAGCACAGATTGGAGAGGGGGGAGCAGGCCCCACTGCAGCCCAGAACACTCCTTCCAAGAAGTGTTGATTGTGGCCGGGGCGTCCAACCTTGTGCTGGGCAGAGGCTGCCCCGTGATCCCCAGCCTGCCTCGGCCAGGTGAGGACGTGTGCAGAGGTGGTCTGGGCTGAAGGCAGAGGAGGGAGCGGGTGACTGTGGAAGCCCCCAGGTCTGGGACTCCAGCCTCCATGGGCTGCCTGCCTGTGAGGAAGAATCAGACTTGGCTAAATGGCCTCTGGGCTCCTGAATGACGCCTGCAGAGTGAGTGAGCCCCCCTCTGTCGCCTGCCCCGACTGCTCACACTGCTGAGGCCTGGGCCCCAGGGGCGGCTTGGTGTGCCCCGAGCTGGCCTTGCCTTGGTGGTCTCCCTGGAGAGATGAGGGAGCTGCCTGTGGGCAGCCCCTCCCCGCCTGCCCCGCCTCGTGCTTTCCCCTCAGTCCAGGGCCTGTGGCACCGGTGTCACCAGCACTGATGGGATGGGCGCCTCTGAAATTGGAATTGATAGGTTTTCTGGGCAGCTTTCTGATTTCCGTTCCATTTCTTATACTGACCAAGACGGGAAGAGAGTGGGGTGCCTTCTGTTGGGAGACATGGTATCTGCAGTGCAGTGGACGCTGTCTACACCTGCCTGCTGTGGGGGATGCTCCCTCCCCACGGGGGGTGTGGCGTCGGGGCATTTACAGAAAGCCCTCTGAAGCTCTGTGGAGACCCGTGGTCCCATCCATGATGCTGTTGGGGGTGCTGGGTGCTCCCCGCGGTCCAGCGGGCACTCTGTGGGCTGTCGAGGAGTGTTTACATCTCTCTCCCTCCCTCTAGATGCCAGACCCTGAGGACAAGAACAGAGTCTTATTTTTCAGGATGTCCCCAGAGCCTAGCTTGGGGCGGCCCCCAGGAGGGCTCAGGGAGTGTCTGCTGAATTAATGGGTTATTGAAGCGTTGTGCTCTGTGCTTGGGCCAACTGGGAGCTGGGTGGTGTGGTGGGACCCTCCCTCCCGGGATGCTGTCCCTGTTGCCGAGTGTTTGGGCTGCTGGGAGCCTGCGGGGAGGTGGAGGAGACGCCACCCACCCCTGGGCAGGACCCCTGTGTCTTCTGACGGCATGTCTTGATTCCAGGTCCTGGGAGCCTAGGTCTCCCAGCAAGGGCTGGGAGAGGCCTCCTGAGGGTGGGGCGTGCCGGGCTGCGCTCCCTTTGCTGTGGACCACACTGCTGGGCTTGGGAGAGCAGGATGGGCTCACCTTCCTGGGAGCCCCAGCAAGAGGGTCCCAAGGGTCCTGAGACCTTAACTTTGCCCCCCAGCCCTGGCCCGGGAGCTCCTTCCCTCTGTGCATCTCTTCTTTCTGTTCCCGCCCCCCCCCCCCCCCCGCTCTTCTTCTTCACATGGGCTTCTCTGCCCCGCTGTCTCTGTCTCCCTCCCTGTCTCTCTGTCTCTGTCTCCTTGTCTCTGTCTCCTTGTCTCTCCCTCCCTCCCTGTTTCTTTGTCTCCCTGACTCTCTGTGTCTCTCCTGCCCTCCGTCTCCCTGTCTTACTTTCTTGGTCTCTGTCTCTGTATTTCAAACCTTCTCTGCCTCTCTGACCTGTTATCTTTTCTTTGCCTTCTCTGTCTCTATATTTCTTTCCCTCTCGATGTCTGTTTCTTTGTGTCTTTTTGCTTTTTCTCTCTCATTCTTCCTCTATCTCTTTCTCTTTTCTGCCCTATCCTGTGTCTCGTCTGGGTCAGTCTCTGCTCTCTGTGTCTGCAGGAGCAGGGCTGGGAGTTGGCACTGATGGTTTCCTGGCTCCCTCTCTCTGCCCCTCAACCCCAGAGGTGGCGCTGGGCTGGGAGAGGGACCCCCAGGTGGGGAGGATGATCCATGTCCCACGGGGCCTCACATGCTGGCCCAGAGTCACATGGGGGAGCTGCTCTGTTGCTCCTGCTTGCGGCACATGGCGACTTGTGAACCTGTGTGTGCATGTGTGCATGCGTATGCGTGTGTGCATGAGCATGTGGGTGCATGGTGGAGGGGGGCCCTGGGTCCGTTTCGGGGTGAGTGAGTGCTGACCCTGGGGAATCCTGGGAAGAACCCTAACCCCAACCCCTCCTGAGCTGAGGTCCCTGTGGGTAGCCATGGGGGGCATTATTTCTTGTTATTTTGTTGTTTTTAATTAGGGTTTACTTAATTGGTGCTCAGAGGGCTGGAGGCCCCTTGGGGGGAGGGGAGGGGCTCTGGCGGGGAGGCCCTGTTGCCTGGCAAAGCCAGGCTCATCTCCAGAGGCCCGCTGGGGTCCCTTCTGCTTCTGGGGTGGTGTGCAGGGCGGGGGAGGCACCCTCCATGGCACCGGGTCCCCACACTGGCCTCGGGGAAGCCTCTTGGCCCATATACTCGCCCACCCTTGGCATTGGGGTCGGGGGCAGGACCCAGTCCTGGCTCCACAGGAGCGAGCTGTCTTGCCTGCCGTCCCTCCGCCCACCCTCCTGTCCATGCGTCTGTCTGGCCACTTGAGCTGCTGTCTTCTGAGCTCCCCGCCATCCGTCGTTCTTTAATCACTCGTTTATTCAAGATTTGTTGCGCTTCTGCCAGAGGCTGAGGACACAGCAGTGGACGAGACCACGAGCCCCTGCCCTGGTGGCTGCATTCCAGGGGACAGTGTCGGGCCCCACAGGGGCGTCCTGTAACCTTGCGCTGTACTTACTTGGACGTTTATTGCTTAACGTGTGCCTCCCAGTGCCCCTCTCCTGGATGTACACTCCTCAGGGGCAGGTTTCCACCTGAGTTCTTCACAGCGGCATTGCGGTGCCTGGGCAGGTGTTCTGGGAGACCGCGCCGTACACAAAAGTACCACACTTCCTTTTCTCATGTGGAAGAGGGGTGAGGAGCGCAGGTGTGGGCTGGGAGGTTCCTCTTTGTGTCGGGTGGTCAGAGAAGGCTCAGGAACGAGGTGGCTTCTGAAGGACATGAGGGGATGGGCCGTCTGGTTATTGGGGAGAGGCCGTGGCTGGAGATGTCCACACCAGGACACAGGTGTGTCGATGGTCTTTAGAGCCTGAGACCAGATAGGATCCCAGGGAATGGCGATTATGGAGGAGAAGCTGCACATGACTGAGCCCAGGGACACCAGAGTTTATAGGTTGGGACTGGCCTGTGCGGTGGATGGAGAACCGGAGAGTAGATGTGGATGTGTTTCAGGAGGAAGAGGAGGATGGACGGTTAAGCGTGGCATCCAGTGATGTGCACGTGAGGGGTTCTGGATGAGAGCTTGCTGGGAAAGGCTCCCACAGGAATGGGGGGGCGGTGAGCACCTGTGGGCAGCTGTTCTACCTTTTAGGGAGTTTTACAGCAAACCGGGGCAGAGAACTGGGGCAGTGGTGGGGGGAGATGAGGTGCAGGAGGGTTTTATTAAGTAGGGGCTACTGCCTGTGTGCTGATGGGCATGGTCCAGGAGGCCAGATGTGGACAGAAAGTGCTGGAGTGATGTCCTGGAGTGGATGAGGGACCCTAGGACCCAAGGGGTCCGGACCTGTCTCTCTGTAGCAGCAGGAAATGGAGGAGGAGCTGAGTGTGTGACCTAGGTTGGCAGAGGAGAAGGAAGGGATGTTGCAGAAATCCTCCTGTGTCTGTTTCCATTGAACCAGGAAGTGAGCGCATTAGCAGAGATGTGGTGTGGGAAGAAGGTTGAGGGTTGATGCCCTAGGACATAGCATGAGATAGGGGAGAGAGAGGGAGGGAGAGGGAGAGGAGGCATGAGGAGTGAATGAAGAATGAGTGAACGAGGAACCCCCTTTGCCCGCATCCCAGCCTCTCGCGTCTTCCTCAGCTCCCTCTCTGCTCCCTTCCCTCCTTCACCCCTTGCCCATCTGGCCGTCCATCACTAGTTCCTGTGGGAGGCATTTGTTGAATGCTCTGGCTGCTGGGACACAGCAGTGAGCTGGAGGCTGCCTTCTCCTGGGGGGAGACGGTGAAGAAACAACGCCCCATGCTGGGCAGTGAGGTACAGTGATGAGCAGAAGGCCGGGTGGGTTGGGGATGAAGTTTGTCCCTTCACTGGGGTCAGGGAAGGTCCCTGAGAAGCACCTTGAGCAGAGGAGCAGGCAGGAGCGGCGGTGGAGGAGGGAGAGGGAGGAGAGACAGGGTGAA